TAGCTGATTAAAATCAAAATTAAATTTTTTATAAAATTTTAAAATTGCTCAAAAATCAGACAAACAGGGTCATTAGCCAAATTTTGTCGGTTGTGTAGAAAATTTGGAGCTGCTTCCAATCAAAATTAAATTTTTAAGTAGCTCTAAAAGCCATAATAGTACTTGTTGTGAGCTCATGAAACAAGTTTTAAGTACACTTTACATGCTTTGAGGGAAACATGTATTATAGTGATTCGTATATTAATGTGAATGAATTTTTACAAAATTTGAGTTGGCAAATTGGGTATAGATCAAAATATATGTAATTCATTGTAACCAAGTAGTGTTCATTCTCACCTAAAAATGGTGCACTTTATGGTCATCCAATCAATCTCAATACCAGGAGTCTGGAGTCTAGAGGCAAAGCAATGTGACCAAAGAGACCAGGATATAGTTTCAGCCAAAGGTGAGACATAACTACAGTGGGCTTCAGTAGGAAACAGTGCCTGACTAGTCTCCAGCGAGTCTTACAGGCCATTGTTTGGATGTGGGAGGTCATCAAACCATAGATATGTTAAGTTCGTGACACGTTTCGTGCCAAGTTTCTTCACCTCCTCAGAGCTCAAACTGAGGAAATTAAATTAGTTCGTTCAGAAAGAAGGAAAGAAAGTTGGTGAAGGCTGGGATGCTGCTCGAGTGTAGCATCTATGATTGCAGCTAGTGACCCTCGCGAAAGCCGGAGGGTCAGGATAAATACGTATACCAAAGTTGGTTGCATTTGTATGGCTTGGGCGGGGCTCAAAAGCTATCAGCATCCTAGTTAATTATGCCCCACCTATCTAGGGTGGAGTTATGTTGGCAATATGTGGGGGCAAGCTGCTGTGCTTGTGGAAGAGATGCCACAAATGTAGCCCTTTCAATTTAAAGCAGAAGCCTACAAGCATATTTATTTACCCAGGAGTATTATATAACTTACCTGATCCTTCATTATTAAACTTACGGGCTGACTCAGTGGTGTTAAAAACTTAAAGTTATGATGATTACCTGGCAGTAATGCATCAAAATTAATGGCAAATAGGCACTCTTCAAATCCAGTCAGAAAAACTACGATAACACCACTACCACGGTATAAAGCTACTAATATAAAGTAATAACTAGTCATACTGCTCTTCTTAAGCTGATATCCTAGCCTTCTGGCAGCTTCAACTTTAGCAGAATCTTGTAGCTCTATTGGATGGCTTTGAAAAAAGTCAGTTCAGTTTTATTTCGAGAAATCATGCCACTCATTATCACTCAATAAATAATTATTAATGGTTATAAGTATTAATTAACTATTAAAATGATGTAATTAACTATTAAAATGATGTAACTTCCTGTACTGCAGAAATTTTGCAGTAAGCCAACTTTGGTATACGCACTTATCCTGACCCTCCGCCTTTCGCGAGGGTCAGGCCCGCCTGACTAACCCAGTAATGGTAAGAAATAAATTTTGGTAATGTGTAGATCTATGCTCATATTCAGGTGTTCAATTGTATCTACCTTATCAAGACAGGATAATACCTGATTACTCTATGACATATGCTAGCCAGTTTTATAATACTGATCAGAATAATGATGTTAATAATATCATTGATGCTTTGTGGTGTCAGAGTGCTAACACTAGTATTAATATTGGAGTGTGGTATTATCCTAATGGAACTGAAGTACCTTTATTTGATGGAGCCTTTGATGAGCAATCAGGAGTTCCTCAACCAGTGTTCAGTAAGAGATTCAGTGGTCAGATTGCACTAGCTAGAAGTGCTGGACTATTAGGATATGAAGGTTTATACAAGTGTATCATTCCTGATGAGAATGGAGTGGATCAAACACTAGTGGTTGGAGCATATACTGATACTGGATACAATAACAATGGTATGTGATGAATATAGACTATAATTAATGTACTTCTTTTACAGATGGTCCTGATGCTGATCCTACTATGCAGTTTTCTCTCCTCTCCACTAGTAGATTAGCTACTCCTCCAGTCTTCAGTCTCAGTTTCAATGTCTCTGATGGTCCTCCTACTACTGTCAATTGTTCAGTGAACGGGAATGGAATATCTACTGAACTGTCTCGTGTGATAGTGAATGGAACAGGATCTGTTACAAAAGTGACAGTAACAGTGAGACTGAGAGAAGCTGGTAACTATCAGTGTAATGTATCTAATGACAGAGTAACTGATGGTAATAATGGCGTTATTGGAGGTGTTCAGGCAACAAGTAGTAGCACAGTATTGAGTTTGTCAGGTTTGTATCATTTATTATTTATTTATAATTTTTTCTCATACAGTATCTGACACTCCAATTGGTTTAACTGCTACAAGATTAAATACTGGTTTAGCTCATGTAAGACTCTCCTGGTCTACTGTATCAGGAGCTACTGGCTATGAGGTCTACTATCAACTGTCTAGTAATACTCCTGTTAGTGTATTCAACACTAGTAATACAATAATCACTATAATAGCATTATTGTCTCAAGGAAGTACATACACTTTTTATGTAGTATCTTATGGTTCAGCTTCTCTACCTAGTGGTAATGCTTCAGTTATGTTAACAATTAGTAAGCTATCATTATTTTAATTAGTGCATGTACATGTACATGTATAATATTATTGTAGGTAATCCAATTGTTAATGATCTTATGGATACTGTAATTACAAATTTTGCTATTACATTAACATGGAGTCCACCAACTGCTCTAGTACCAATTAGTTATAATATTAATAGGAGATGTAGGAGAGTATGTGAATCATCAGTCACTAGCAATAGTGAAACATCAGTTTCATCACCACATACTTCAACTGGTATACCTCCTTACAGTCAATGTGGCTTTGATCTTATTGGAGTGTATGGATCTGAGATAGCTTTTTTAAGAACCAATTATTTAGCTACTACACTTTTAACTCGTAAGTAAGAAGTTATTTAAGTTAATTATTAGCCCCTTCTCAATAGCCCCTACTGCACCAGTGGGTGATATTATATTCTCATCAGTAGAGTCAGTATCAATGACTGTCTCATGGGATGAAGTACCTTGCAATGGAAGGAATGGACCAATCACTGGATACTACCTCACATACACTAACATCACTTCAAACACTAGTTATACTGTTAATATCACTGGAGGAGACAACAGAATGTATAATCTCACAGGATTAATACCATATACTAACTATACTGTGAGTATAATACCTTATAATTATAATATGAATGGACCAGCTAGACAAGAAATACAATTAACTGCTGAATCAAGTAAGTCAATGAGATATTGATCAATTTAACATGATCTTAACACAGTTCCTGGTGTGATATCAAATTTAATATATTCAAGGCGACCAACTGAAATAGCTCTTCTATGGAATCCTCCTACAATACCTAATGGTATCATTACAGTATATGAGATAAGATATAGAGAGTCTACCAGTACTGGTCCATACAATACAACTAACACTACTAACACTTATTACAGTATAGTAGGATTGATACCTAATACTAGTTATACTATTGGAGTGAGAGCATATACTAGTATTGGACCAGGAGAATGGACTAATAGAGAATATGCTACTGCTGAAATACGTAAGAAATTACTATTTCTCTAATTTTATATTATTTTGTTATTTAGCTGTCATTCAAACCTTTTCTATAACAAAGCTCAATTCTACAGCAGTGAGGGCTGAGTGGAGTTTTGCTTCTGGAGCTAGTCATTATACTGTCTATTATGAATCAACCAGTAGCTCCTCAAGAAAGAAGAGACAAGTAGAGACAGGAATGAGAGTATTCCCAGGTGATACTACTGAAGGTCTAATAGGAGGATTAGATCCTAATCTGAACTACTTGTTCTCTATATCTACATCATTTAATGTTAATGGAATCATTTATGAAGGAGAGAGGACTCAACCAATACCACCAGGTTATACTATAATGTGTTGCTTCATAAATAATACTCAATTTATGTATTTAGGTGTTACTCTATCTCCTACTATTATATCAAGCACTTCATCAGTCATTATTGGTACAGGATTGTCAACAAGTAAGATAGTACATATACTAATAGATGTATCATGTATGTAGTCAGTTTATTTTAAAGTACTGTCATCAATAGTGCCATTAAGCATGAGTAAACTTAACACTATTGATGCATGTACTAATCAGTTTATGTTTATAGTTTCTTATTCTATTGAGACAAGTACCATGACTACTCCATTGACTACTGTATTAGTGAATAATGGAGGAAATATTGGAGTGATAGTTGGACTAAGTGTAGTTTTTCCGGTATTATTAGTACTGGCTATAACTATAATTATTATACTGGTACTGGTTATGTACATAAAAAGAACTAATATTAATCAAAAAAGGTAAAAGTGTACACATTCATTACTGAATTAATTTTAAAATTTATAGAAAATCAGATAATGACATTGTAATGGAATGCAGTCCAGCTTATGCTACAACTGAATTTAAAACAAAGTTAGTTACACTATTGACTATTACATTGTCTATACACACACACATACAGTACTGCTGATGATATACTAATGAAGGATAGTCCAGCATACAGTACAGTACAACAAACACAGTCAGTTATATAAAATACAATTATTATTATTATTTAAAGTTATTATTAATAGACCAACTGTTGAGCCAGTGTATGATACAACTAATAATGAATATGAGACTCCTCTTCCACCACCTGCTGAATATGAAATACCAACTGTTTAATAATTTACTCATCTTTTACGTAGTGAAAACTTGGAATAGTAATTAAGTTGATTAAAATGTGTGCTTGTGATAGAAAATTTTTTAAATGTCAGTTAAAATGCCACATTTATATCATGATGAAATGAAGTTTAGTATAGCAATTGAATATCAAAAATATACTGATTTTATGTAACTAATAAAATTATGCTAGATCTAATTACTGATACACATTAATTTTCCT